ACTCAATAAAACTGTATGATATCTGTTAAAAAATAAACACACTGTATTTTAGCAAAGAACCAAACATGAACAAAATATCTTTATTATACCTTCAGCAATCTCCTGCCATATGATTTTGTTTCATACTGTGTGTGTGTGTATATATATATATTTCTGTATCTGGGTAAACTATCATACGTGATGATGACAAACCTTTTCCAAACAGGATACATTTATTGCTGTTAAATTTGTAATAATGTTTGCTTTGCTATTCATTCAATCTGTCTCTAAACTGTATAAGCTTACCTACTTTATCTCAACTTATCTTGTGTCTTCTCATTGAAGTACATTTTTGTAGTTTTCAAACAGTTATAATCTAACTTAACATTAATTATAGTATTCATAAAAAGGTAATAAAATAGAATTATTTGTTTACTTAGCAATGGCTTAGGCCTAGAAAAAAAAAGCTTTGTTTCTGGTTGCCTGACCAACTCGATGTAACAATACTCGACCCTAAAGTTTTTCAACACTCCTCCCACCCACCCACCCCAAGAAAAAGAAAAATCATCTTCCGATCGACACTGATGAAAAATGTCCTTCGATTGATTTTTTAAAATTAAATTCTTCCACCCATCTGCGACCATATTGTGCAAGGTGAAAGTCACAAGAAACCATGTCTCTGATTCATTAGTTGGTGTGGTGTCTCAACGTTCTCAGTCAATTATCTGTCTCATCACATACATGTTTGGTGACATTGACTGACTACTTGACTACTTTATACGTGTTACAGTTTTGAAACTACTAACTTTTAATATAGTATGTGTATCTTTACAAAATTTGGCAGACTTTCTGTGAACATTACAAATATTTTCTGTACAAAAATCAGATGTTTTAGGGAAGTATTTTTACTAAAGATTTGTCCTTGAATAAATCAAGTCTTTTTCTTACCAGTCTAAGTACAAAGTGATTTTAATGTTAAAATTAAAAATACTTTTCACCTCAAAAATCTCAAATTTCATTTACATAATCTCTAAAACCTCCTAAATTTGTGTCAAACATTTCTTTTTTTCAATAAAACTTTATATTTTATCTGTTACTTTCTCTACCCTAACTATACAAGGTTAGTCAATTTGACTGATGTCGTAAACACGAAAAAAATAATCGAAAGGACCTTTTTTTCATTCTAGAATCACTTCAAATTGTAAAATGAAACTACATTTGTTTATTCCTAAGTAGCTTTAAACCCATGACGGTAT